CGTAATTATAGAATCTAAGATAGCCTTGACATAGTCTCGTAACTTAGAAGCTTCAAAAAGCTCAAATTTATCATTCAGTGCTCAGCTTTAATCGATTATATAGGTAAATAATCGATTAAAACAGTGAGAAAACCACTTTCTATACAAAGTCACTATTTTAATCGATTAAACGACAAAATAATCGATTATTTCGTATCTGTTCAGTACAGATAATCGATTATTTCACCAAATAATCGATTAATCCAGAGAGGTTTGGGTTCGACGTATTTGGCTCTGTTTTAATCGATTATCACTCCAAATAATCGATTATTTCGATCTGTTTTTCATTTTAAATTTCAAATTAACCCTATTTTCGAAAACCCAATTACCAAGAACCCTAGTTTCGAAATCCCCAAATCCTAAACCCTAATTTCCCTACTTAAACTCTCCTTTGGCACTCAGAAAATGAAGAACAACTCTTTCCATACAAAAGTTAAGTGCTGTGAGTGCCAGAGAACTGTTTGTTGCAAGGAAAGGGGGCTTTTGGAACCTGGTGTGGGCTAGAAGCAATAAGAATCACTAAGTGGAGTTCTTAGTGGATTGTGTGTTGTGCCATCTCTGGGGAAAGTTGTTCTTCATCTCTTGTGGATTTCAAGAGAGGTGTTGTCTTTACTTTATCTCTTTCATTTGTAATTTGTTTTGTAACAATTTGTTCTTAGTGACAGCGTTAACAATCCTCTTTTGAGTGATTAGCAACTGGACGTAGGGTCTTTTGATCTGAACCAGTATAAACCTACTGTGTAATCTTCTCTACTCTTCTCTATTTACATTTACACAGTTTTTAATCGGTAAAATTTGGGGAAAATTTTGAAAACCTAATTTTTATTAAGAAACCAATTCACCCCCCCTCTTGGTTTTTGTCCGACCACGCGAACATTCCGCTGCGCGATTCTAACACTTTTCACTAGTACAAAATAGGCTTTTAACATCGGTTCCCAGGGACTTTTAACATCGGTTCTAGAACCGATGTAGATACGACCGATGTAGAAAGTGTGACTTTCCACATCGGTTGTAAGGAACCGATGTAGAAAGTCTAATATTTTATTTTATTTTATTTATTCATAACACATCTCTAATTACCCTATCTATTGATCTAGAGTTTCCTAGACTATCCTCTCCCTTTTATAACCCTTTTATATTATATTTTTATTATTTATATTTTTTAGGAATTTGAATTATTATCGGATTAAGAGAACCGATGTACAAAATAGGCTTTTAACACTTTGCACTAGTACAAAATAGGCTTTTAACATCGGTTCTAGAACCGATGTAGATACGACCGATGTAGAAAGTGTGACTTTCCACATCGGTTGTAAGGAACCGATGTAGAAAGTCTAATATTTTTTTTTATTTTATTTATTCATAACACATCTCTAATTACCCTATCTATTGATCTAGAGTTTCCTAGACTATCCTCTCCCTTTTATAACCCTTTTATATTATATTTTTATTATTTATATTTTTTAGGAATTTGAATTATTATCAGATTAAGAGAATTGTCCCGGCAAGATTCGAACCCGAGTACCTTAGAGTCGGAGGTCGATACTTCAACCACTAAGCTACCAGGATTTTTTGATAATAACTTATACATAAATTATATTTATATACAAATAAAAATGTATATCCATGTAAATATATAAATATAAAATATATAAATACAAATACAAATATATTTATATATTTATATGTTGGATGTGAGGACGCGCTCGAGGATGAAAGTGTGTGTCGAGTGAATTTTTAAAATTTGATGTCAAATTTGTGAGTGGATCTCTTTATATGGATTATAACTTAATGACAAAATATAATCTTTATAATTTATTATATAAAATAATTTTTTTTCTTTATTTTATATCATTATATAAATTAATTATAAAGATTATATTCTATATTATTATAAATAAATTATAAAGATTATATTCTATCATTAAATTACAAATTCATATAAAGAAACTTGCTCACAAATTTGACATCAAATTTTGAAAACCCACTTGACACACACTTTTATTCTCGAGCGCGCTCTCACATCCAACATATAAATATATAAATATATTTGTATTTGTATTTATATATTTTATATTTATATATTCACATGGATATACATTTTTATTTGTATATAAATATAATTTATGTATAAGCTATTATCGAGAAAATCTTGGTAGCTTAGTGGTTGGAGTATCGACCTCCGACTTCAAGGTATTGGGTTCGAATCCTGCCAGTAACAATTTTTTTAATTTTATAGAAAGACTTTCTACATCGGTTCATCTAGGAACCGATGTAGAAAGTGTTTTCTACATCAGTTCATCTGGGAACCGATGTTGAAAGTCTTGAAGTCACTTTCTACATCGGTTCTTAAAGAACCGATGTGGAAAGCCCGATGTTAAAAGTGATTTTTGTACTAGTGTTTGATCCAAACCAGTATAAATCTTTTGTGTAAGACTCTATCCTTATCCTATTTACGTTTACACAATATTTTAATCGGTAAAATTTGGGAAAAATTTTTGAAACCTAATTTTTGTTAAGAAACCAATTCACCCCCCCCCCTTTTGGTTTTTGTCCGTTCACGCAAACATTCTGCTGCGCGATTCTAATAGCCCGGATACCTGACACTCTACATATGGTTATTGTGTATTTCTTGGTGACAATTTAATTTCTTGGTCTTCCAAACAACAACTTACTCTATCCTGCTCTAATGCAGAGGCGGAATATCGAGGCATCACTAATGTGGTTTTTAATTCTTGTTGGTTATGAAATCTTCTTCTTAAGCTTCATTGACTTATTCACAAAGTTACCTTAGTTTATTGTGATAATGTTAGTGTAACATATCTCTCTGAAAATCAGGCCCAACATCAACGTAATAAGCATATTGATATAAATATTCATTTTGTACGCAAAAAGGTTGCTTGTGGGAAAGTTCGTGTCTTACATGTTCTATCACATTATCATTTGTAGATATTTTTACAAAAAGACTTCCCTTGGTTCTTTTTTAGGAGTTCCGAGACAATCTCAGCATACGACAACCTCCTGCTTTAAATGTGGGGGAGTATTAGAATATACATTGATATTTGTGTTTTATTTAGAATATTGTTACAATAATGAGCTTCTAAATGTATAGCTTAGGATCTCTCATCATAATATTGTCACTAATTTGTTTCCTTGATTATAGCCTAAGATCTCTCTTATAATAGTTGTATATAACCACGATTATGTTGATGAAATATCACAAAATTACATTCTTTCAATTGTTAGGTTCCTTTTAGGTCAAGTATCCAAGGATTTCGATAATACACAAAAAGAAAATAATTTTCACACAAGATGCTTAATAAATGATAATATTGTACTCTTATCATTAATGGAAAAATAAAAAGTTGTTTAAGAAACTTTTATATTCCTATTACTAGAACAATACAAGTTACATTTGTTAACCGAAAAGGGGAGATAACAGTTACCAATCAAGTGCTTCTTTCTTTGTATTCACAAGTATAGAGATAAGGTTTTATGTGATATGGTGGTCATGGAATTGATTTTCACTATTGTTTATGAAATTAAATATTCTAAATTTTGTTCCAACTATTTTGTAATATAGAGGACAAATTCGGTCATTCTTCTTAACGACACATATTAAAATATATTCAATCTTTAGTTTTATTTCCGTACAAGTTAGATATTGTGGATTTAGGTTTTGAAAATTCTAAAATGTAAGCAATTTAATAAAGAAAACATAATTAAATGAACAAATTCAAGCAGGGAAAATAAAAAACAATCGATAGATTCTTAAGCAAACAATCCTCTTATCATAAATCTTTAAGTATTTCAATCCAAGTTTGAATGATTAACATATTCAATTAATCAACTCATCCGATTATACAAATTAAATTTGAATATCATTCAATCTAATACAAATTCTAGTACATCAACCAAATAATAACTTAGATATGTTATTGGGCACATACATTTTCGCGCTTCAATGTGTCGTAAACAAAAAAAGGCAAGTACAAAGTTGTCTTAATTGTAATTTTATAGGGAGTCACATCTATTAGCGATATCATTTTGTAACAATGTTTAGATAATCCTCACCAATTTAGTCAAGTGCATTGGACCGTTTGAAGATGATTTGGAATTAAGGCTTTCAAAAGATTACCCTTTTGCCATAAAAACAGTTAAAAAATTGTAAGGCAATATAATTTAAAACGATATGAGGCGGATACTTCTATAATACATTCAAAATTGATCTAGACACTTAAATTTAATATAGCTACGATAAAAGGGAATTTCGCACTCAATATGACTATACAGAAAACATCCTCTTACATGAGAACATGTAGATTGTTTAATTTTGAACTAAAAAGGCTCTACAACCGTAAGCTCTATTTAATCCAATAAGTTGTGCCAAAAATAATGTTGCTAAAAACCTAACCTAAATGGAGATCTTGAACTGCCAGACTTCCAGTTCAGATTTAACCAATTGAACCAGTTAATCAAAGCAAAAAAGTGATCAACTAATTCACATAAAAGAATATAAAATATAAAATATAATTATTAAATATGACAGTTATCAATATGGTTAGTTCGTTCAACTTAACCAACAAAGTTTTAATTCATTTCTAGTGGTCTACACGTCTGTTAGGATAAGACTAAAAATAACCAAATAGGTGTCTAATTCAGTGTTAGACAGATAACACTACTGAATCCTCTTTCGTCAACAATGATCGAAATATATATGTTGATCCAATGAAGTATGAATCTTCTATAGAATAGATGAAATACCTAATCTAAATAAAAGAAACGGATATTTTTTGGTGTACAAACTAGATATGAACATTTCTCGTTGGATAAAATGAAACGTCAAAATCTTTATACAAACACAAAGGAACATCTTACACGAGGTATAGCTAATTACAGGAGTAGAGTAAGTAGCCTCCTTTCCGATTTACCATATAGCTGGCAATTGAGTGAAAGCCCAATTACCTACTCAAATAGTATATTATAAGAAAAAGCACAAGAAAGGATGCTACAAGTGAAAACATTCTTCGGCTGGATTTTGTTTCAAATACCTGAAAGATGACAAAAGATCATTACAAAAGACATCGAAAAATAAATACTTGATCCTGAGTGGTCAAGACAACAGTATACCTCTACCACATCTATTGAAATTTTCCCGAATTAGAAGGAAAGGAAAAGACCAAATATACAGAGCAAAAACTGAACTAAAACAGTCCACACATACCACTTTGAATTTATCCATAGTGCCTGAGAGGACTCCTCTTGAAGAATCCATATCGTTTCCCTACAGAAAATACCAAGAGTGGTTACCAACGCATAGCGTGATATGGCAGAAAATGCAAATATTTTGAATAATTGTTACAGAGTATGTACCATGCGATCCAGCATCCGGTTGTGACTATCCACTTCCTCATTTATATCACCTGACAACTGTTGAAGCATGCCCGTTAAAAATTCAATTATTATAGTTGATAAAGCGAAAGATTTTAAACTACTTTAAAATTGCACATATTGTTAAAATATTAACAGGATATCTTAAAGGGTTTCAAGAAGACAAGAAACAAGTAGATATTATACTACTCAACAAACGGAACGGCATCAGTTACAGCGTAATACAATAAGATGTAATAAATAATTTGGGTCAACAGAGATTCGGTGAAAGAGTGAGAGATAACAAATTTGAAAATTAAAGTTATTCAAAGCAAGGAAAAAAGGAACACATTAGATCAGAAGATTCCAAATTCCCGAAGATTGCAGTTCCTGTTGTATAATTTACCTTACATGACATTAGAGAAAAATTAGATTATAAAACATCGACATGTTTAGCAATAGTTGAAACACAACGAAGAATTGATCATAGGGTAATCTCTTGTTAGTATACAAGAGATAACTAGGAATCTAGGGCATGTTGCAAGCAAGAGTAAGCTTACTCTTTTCAGCAGCTTCACTCTATCTTGCAATCCATCCAATGCTTGTTCATTACCATGTTCATCAATTTCATGGGAAGTTGAGTAAAGAGAGGATGCTCTGATGCCACCCTCCTCAATACCATCAAAAAGTGCAACTCTGCTGTTACGACCATCTCTGAAACAGAAAAAATAATAATATACAAAACGGTGATATGAGCCAAGATGGTCAGATAATAAACACAAGCAAGATAACTTTCACTTGTAGATATTTGATGTTTCCATAAGCGCATAAACTATAAAAAATTCTAGATAACAAAATAAACTATCAAGTATTCTAGAAAGAAAGGTTGTCTCTGGATTTCTACATTTGACCATTTCTAAAAAATAAAATTATAAGCAGAGACCAAATAACCCTAAGAACTGATCAAATAAAAAATAGGTCTAGTGCAGTAGAGCCCATTGTCTACAAAATAACGAGGGAAGGAAATGAGGCTTTCCATTTGAGTATAAAAATCTTTTATATCCTCACCTTATGCAGAGCAGAAAAAGGCCATTCGATATTTACTAAACAAGTATAACAACAGAATGTCATGCTCTATCATGTTACAACTCATCATATCCATTATCCAACCACAACTTCATCATAGACTTTTGAATACACATGAAGACATGCATAAAACTCGTTTTCCTGTGAGCATCAACCAGTTTCCAAGGATATGCACTCAATCCAAAGTTTTCTCTCACATTCAATTGGAATCAAACAAAAATTTCCCTCGTAGGCTCCGGTACATAAAATGACTTAAATAGCCAATAAATAGGAAAAGGGGTTGATCTAACACGAGTAAAATACTGCATAGCATTGGTAACTCGTTTAAGGAAGTACATGCTGAGACAGCAAACAAGGAAAACATTGTTTGATCATTTAATGAAGACAATTCAACCAAGTCAAGTTATGAAACATCTCCCTTCACAGTTGTTACAGGAATCAACTTGCCAGTGATAACTCAGTCATCACTGATCCCAGGATCAAATCTATTCTTATTACAATTGGAAGGTGCAAGGAATTATTAAATAGTGGTATTTGAGATCAATAAAAAAACCGATATCAAAGTCATCTACAAATCACCAGTCCACCATCCTCCTCCAACACAACACCATTTCGCAAAAGAAAATTAATTCCGAACTGTAAAAAATCAAAACCATGAAACAGCAATTCATCAATAAATCAAACTTATTAATCGATTCAAACCATAACACAACACCATTTCGCAAAAGAAAATTAATTCCGAACTGTAAAAAATCAAAACCATGAAACAGCAATTCATCAATAAATCAAACTTATTAATCGATTCAAACCATCACGAGATAGAAAATCCAATGCCTCCTACGACGCCTTATCCATGGATCTAACAACAATTCCCCTGCCTAACCGAATTGGATAACGACCGACACTTTCTTCCAAAACATATCAACGAGATAGAACATAAATTTAATCCACACTAACCTTCTAGGATTCATGGCTCACCAGATCAAAAATTCCTAAAACCGTTTCGCAAGTTCTCCCGATCCGTTTCCTAGCAAATGAGTACAATAAATAAAAACCTCGAGTAATTAAAGGAAAAAAAAAATAAAAATACGGCGAATAAAATTCAGATCAAAATACGAATAGAATTAAGAGGAGCAAGAATATTCGAGAAGGTAGGCACATACGTACCTTTGTGTGTTTAAACAAAAACTTCGTGTATAGCAGAGAAAGAGAGGTAGAAGAAAAGAGTGAATATGAGGTTTATATACCATGCCAGGTTTACGAGGAAGTGTGACTTTGCAACACTGCAATGTAATTTAAGTCCATTTGTCCCTATGCGTGTTGGGTTGTCTACTATTCTTTATTTCCCCTGTTTCTAGGCTTCAAAAAATGGAAGAGGTGGATCTTGTTCTTTTATTTTTTGGCTCCTCCAACTAGTCTTGTTTCAAAAGCAACTATGAGTCCCACAATAAAAATGTGAAATTCTTATTATTCATTAAAATTTAATATTGTCATAAGAAGGTATGTATTGGAATTTCATAGTTTTTTTTCTATAACTAGGTGAATAACTTTTTTTAATTAGATAGAAGGTACTTCTAACATAATCATCCATACAAATAAATTATTTCATTCAGTTTAATTTTGAAAAAAACACTATATCACTGTACCAAATTAAGAGCGATAATAAATAAGAAAAACAAATACAAAATTGAATATAAATTATAAAATATCTTAAAAAAACCAACCAGGAAATTCTTTTCTTCTTTAATTGTGTCAATTTATTAAACTGTCTTTCAAGAATGGTACATTTTTATAACTAATTATTTGCATGTGTAATAGTTCAAAGTTTGGAGAAAATATAATAATTTGTTACAATTTAAGAAAATTTTGAATTTACTATATTTTTTAATTCATTAACCTATTTAAAAAATATCTCAAATAATTTGGAAGTCCACTTATATATTAAAATAATTTTATTGTAAAAAAGTATCAGTTCAATAAAGTACTTACAACATTGAATAAGATAAAGTATTTACTCATTTATTTAAATTTTAAGTATAAAAAGTTTCTGCCTATTCAACTAGTCTTTTGGGATTCATTTTCCTTTTATATTCAAGTACTAATAAATAAGAAATTCCTTTTAGAGTGATTAACTAAATATCAGATGCAAATTGTAATATAAAGAAGCGCCTGGCCTGTGTAGTTTATATATTTTTGTATATTTCTCACGTATCATTTTGATGAAACAATAGTTTTTGTACCAATGTACAAAGAATGAGGAATATTATCAGCCATCATAATAGTTGCTGTCTAGAAAACCAGCAAAACACTCTTACACTAGTATGTTAGGAAACCAGAGTCTCATGGTTTAAAACCTTTATGTATCTTTCACCTTTTATGTTCAGATTAAAGAATGAAGAATCCTGAAAAATTTAGCCACCTTAAGCCGTGTTAGCTTTCATAGACCCAAATCGCTAATTCCGAAATATGCAGTTCCTTTTTGAAGGACATTAATGACATAATCTACTTGTATTTGAGCGAGAGGGGTTTTGAATCGAATGCCTCCTCCAATGCCAAACCCAAGTCCTGGCTTACCATGTCTCTCTCCTGGATTGTCTGCAATTATTGTCGTTGGATAAAAATGTTAAAGGTAACAGGTAAGATATTACTACAATTTAAGACATCTTAAAAGTTAAACAAGTGATAGTCATAGTATGCATATCTCATAAGAAAATAGTACTAGAATAAAATTTGGTAACTGTTTTAGTGATAGATATACTTCTCTAAGGTGACGGACAAGAAAATATTAAACTAATTAACAGCCTATAAAGTTAAGAAGTTAATCTTGGGTTGTTTCGGAGATAAACATTTTATTGTTATGAAAAGAAACTAATGACGAAAACAGAACAAAAGACTACTTAGAACGCTAACATGGCTTAATGTGCCAAATTTTTGCAGAGATAAACTTGGGGACTAGATTTCTTAATGAAACTCACAAGGAACCTTATCACTACTCCAAAGATCAGACCCACAGTCCAGGAAGATAACACCTGTTAGTTTCTTGTTCTGCAAATAAAGTAACAAACGTGATCAGCAAACAATGATCGGTAGAAATGATAAACATTGGAAATGCTGAGAAATGAGTCACGGTGGATATTTATTGTAAGTGTAATATATTATTATATAATAATGCCAATAGCCAAAAAGATCTAAGTACTGAGAATTTTGTTTAGAACATTGCACATCGAGTTTTGTTCTTGACAAAGATGCTTGTTGATCATCTAACTTTCTTGCGTTATAATCACAGCCACGCTTCTTATCACTAACAGTAAAACTCGGCGGAGCAAACAAATTTCATCAAAGTTAGCTAGTCCATTCATAAACAATGAGAACTATAATATATTTTTCAAGGAGATATCAACACGGAGATTTTGATTCGTGGGATATAAGTCAATTATACAAGAGAATATAATATTACATTCAACTTACAACCTTAAGACATTATATTATAGGTCTTTTTTATTTATAAAGTACTTAACTTTCCCATTTTTATTTAATGTGTGATTTCAACTCACTTAAACTTTTAGCAATCTCTCATTCAAGTATGATTTTCTTTTACATTGGTACACCTTCTTTTTTGAGCGGAAATCTTTTTTAATCATGAGTACCCAATAGTGACCTTAGTGTACCATCATTCAACACAATGAGAATCTCTTTCTTTCTTGAAATCTTCGTTAAAAAGACTTTTGGGACAAGGATTCATAATTTAGGATCTTTCACATATTTCAAATTATACTCAACCGATCTACTCACCACACGAATTATCGACTCTGGGTCTTTTTCACTTATAAACTACTAAACTTTATCGTTTTTACTCAATGTATAATTTCAACTTACACTTGAATTATCAATAATTTCTCCCTCAAGTGTAATTCAATTTCACATTAGTATATTTCCCCTTTTGAAAGAAAACATTTATTAATTATAAGTACCTAAAAGTGACCTTACTTATATCATTGTTCAACAACGAGATTCTTTTGCTTGAAATTTGTCAAGAAGACTTTTGACATAAGATCTACAATCTAGGATCTTTTACCTACTTTAAGTTATATTTAAACAAGTCACTTATTGTACTAACCATTGACTCTCATATTATTATTGGGTATTTTTTAAAGGAAGTTATAACATCAAGAAGATTTTGGACACAAGATAATATGACATCACACTCAACAAAAAATATTAGGTATTCGGTTACAGGTCTTTCACAAGTTAATTACTAAACTTTGGTATTTTAACAAATGTGGAATTCTCAATTGATTCTCAAACATTCACAAACAGATTTCATCAAAGTTTAACCCGTCCATAGATAATGAGAACGATATAAGGGAAAGTAAAATTATGACTAAATCAAGGATGGAACATATAGCTTATGTTTTGGTAATGACTAAAAGTTCAAACCCCTAAAGACGCAATGCATCACTACGAATACCTCTTGTCATAAGCATTCGGAAACAAAGTATCAAGCATTAAGGAAGTATTATTGTACCGCTTACCATATCAGGATCAGTGCCAAAAGGCAGGTAATGATTCAATAAATGTCTATAATCTTTGTCTGGTGTTTTTTTTTTTTTTTTTTTTCTTTTTTCTCTAAGTTATCGTCTTTCTTTGGAGACATAATCAAAGGATTCTATAGTTCGTCATGCTATGAAGGACTACACCTATCCCGTTTGGTAATCCTTGCCCAATGCTGATATTAAAGTTGCAAGACATCAATATAAGGACTCCAAACTGGAGGACAAGACCAACTTGAAGTATAATAACTGACACAATAAGAATCACTTGGGAATAGAAAATTTAAAGAATATTTATTAGAAAAACACCAATCAAATAGAACCTTAGTAGAAGAACATTAATCATTTTCAGGATGAATCAGCATCCTTTAAATGAATATCATGTCGAGAGGAAAAATGAAAAAACACAGACAAAAAGTATAATATTACTTGTGACACAAGAAGAGTATATCATACCAATGGGATTGACAATTCACTTGTAGATACCAGACACGATTGTCCAACGCTAATTGCTCCTTCACCATAGCCTCGCACACTACTGGGACCACCGATTGCAAATGCTTGATATGGAGCAAAGGATCCCATAACTGTTCCACCACTCATCCTGTCAGAATATATAGCAAAATTGATGCAGGTATAATACGAGGATAGAAACGTGAATTTAGTTTGTTTAAAACATAATGAAAGTAAGTGTTTTTTTTTTCCCTTAACTCATATTAGTATTTATGACGTTGTGTACATCATCTATTCTCTTCGTTTATCACCAGAAAAGTGGTCTTGGACTGTTATGTGTTATAATCCTGAATATGGTTTAAAATTGTCGTCATGGTTGAGTATAGGGTTGCTAGCATTCCGCAATATAATTATTTTATGTCTGTGCTAAAAGTAAAATATAATAATTGATAGTACTCTAATTATTTACTAAATCATTTACAATTATGCATCACACCATTTTCCAACACCTCACTATGAGTTCTTCTTGCCCTCTCCAACATCTCACAGGACAATTTATTCCACTATATTGACACTTTTTAGAAGTTAAAATAGAAGTGTGGAATTTGAATCTTATTATTGATAAACATGAAATAGAATAATAATATTGAGGTCTCATTGTGATGGACACGTTACGGAAAATTGTGTGATTGAAAATCACACTATAATTGTAGGCCGTTGCGGTTGCGAGAGGCACCATAACAGCAATATTGCTGCTAGAACCATGATCCTCATCAATCTGTATTTGATATATGTTCAAGAATTTTTGGATAACAACTAACACATTATAAAATTTCTGCGCGAGTTACCTAGTGCTAAGGTAGGAAAAAAATAATTCACCTAGAAAAGAACAATGCTGGTCCAAGTTTGATTCCTCTTGCAGCAGAAACTTCAAACCGATAGTAGGCGAACAAGGTTGGTGGAATTGGAGTCCCTAGTTCCATCTGGACACTAAACTGAATACAAACAAGCAGTTAATAAATAATGCATACAAGTTTGCATTTGGTGGAAGATGAAATTTCTCAATTTGGATAACCAAAGAAGAATTACTTACGTTAGTAAAACCGTGATCATTTTGATCTTCAAATCGAGATTCTTGACTAACCACTACCATGTTATCAGCTGGACCTCCACTACGCGGAAATTTAAGATGTGGTATAAGTAAAAACTTATTCAAACAGGTCAATTTTCTGAGGACTGAAATAAATCTCATCAACCTTCGAGTCAGTTGAAAACCATCTCGATCTGTGCTTATAGAGCGACCTCCATCGTGTGAAAAGTGAAAACGCTGATTGATCATATATATCATTGTTAAAACCCAGCAAAGATGACCAAGAATATTCTCTACGTTAGAGAAACGCATGCATTATGTTGAACTTAATTAAATGCAATACACAATATTGATTGCAAGGAAAGACTAGCTAGGAATGAATGAAAACCAATATTAACTAATCGCCAACCTTAAAGTATACACCGGTTGCTTTGCCTTGGCTCGAATCAGATTCAGAAGGCTGAATATAATCAAACCCAATCGACAACTTGGATAACCTTACACCGTCACTTTGGGAATGGCATAAATTGTTCGTGGGAATTCCATGGATTCCAACCTCGGGTGACACTGAATGCTATAAAGGAAAACCTTCAATGCCATAGTTAAGTTCCTTGATTTCTTGCGTTTATATAAAATTTTGATAAGTATTTATAGGAGAAAATAAAATAAAATGAACATTTTTATAAATGAAAATTAAATTGTAAAAATAAACTTTTGAGGAAACTATATAAAAAAGATTACAAATTAATATATACTTTAGCTTAAGATTAAACTTTTTTTCTATTTAATTCGTATACAAATTTATTTTACATATATGTGTGTTTAAAGAAAAGTTGATTCATGAAAAAAATTCAGCAGTACAAACCTTAACGGTGAGGCAGGGGGGACCAATATCCCGAGGTCTAAGGTACCTATACGTGACCAATAGATCTGAATCATCCAGGCCCCTGTGCCACGACATATCTAGCAAATCACTGTAATAAATTAGGCCAGGGTGCTTCAAGCGAAGGCTGAAATAATTGAAACACTTGGTTATAGATACACTTAGACCAATCCAATTTGATGCACTGTGAGTAGAAAATTTAGAACCCAAACCAAATTTTGTACCTGCCAGTAGCCATAGAAACCAGACCTCTGGACAGCCTGTTGGAGTTCATGAAAAACATCATCAGAGAATAAAGTAGCCAAACATTCATAGGTTGATTAGAGAATCGCCAAAAACCTGTGCATGTGAGAAGTACATATTTTAGTGAAATCAACTCCAACGTCGAGCTTTGCTGCCATGCGCAAATTCACGGTGAATACATTTACTTAGTAAATATATTTAAGATATGCAATGTTAACCAAATAATACTAAAAGAAAATGATAAATAACAAAACAGGAAGTTTGAAGAAAATCGAACATCTTCCAACATGGATACTTTTGTTTGCTCCCATTCTGAACAGACCATTAGTCCTCGTTCAACAACTGCAAGAATTAATAAGGAAACAATGAAGATCGTAACAAGGTAGAGGTTCCATGCTTTCTAGCTTTGAGATTCTTTGTTTGGCATAGATGACAAGTTTTGTCACCTCGTTGCTTCCTCGTATATCTTTACCTCATTAATGAGAGATAAGAGGATATATACTATGATATTTTCCTTATATATTATATTATAATACATATGATGAAGCTTTGTAATCCAAAACACATCTATGAGCCCATGACTCCTCATGAGGAGTGAGAAAACCTTCCTATAAGGATGACTATGAAACCTCCTCCTTACTCAATTTTTTTAGTTTATTTAGTATTTCTCCTTTTCATTTATTTTCCTATACTCATATTGTTTCTTTTGTTTTGTAGATTTGTTCTTGGACACTTCCTTTTTGATGTTGAGACCTTTTCAGAGGATGAGAATCTTGGGACTCATAGGGCAACACATAGATTGCTCTTGGACACCACTTATCTCAGGCAATGAGCATTGGACTCTTGGCCTTTTACCTTGGGACGACCCATGGAGTCAAATTAGATCACCTTTGACCTTCTATAAGTAGGAGGTTGTACTCGTTGGTCTCCAAGACGAGGGTGCCATCATTTTTTATGACCCAGCTTCTAGAAACATTTTATTTTCCTCTAGGTCACTCATTCATGCTTATATAGGAGAACCTTCCATTCTCTTGTAAAGTTAAACATTTACAAATATAAGTTTGAGTGCTTCAACCTTGAGAGTATGCTCTTTTTTAGTGTTCTCTTTTCTTAGTCTTATCTTTAACCTTAGTTCAAGTGGTAGCAACCACCACTCATCTTGGGTTAAATCATCTCTAGGTGACGTGTCACCACTCCCTCTTTTCTGTCCTTTCTCTTCTCTTCATTTTTTTTTATTTCAAGTTCTTTTATGTTATTGTTCATTTAATTTCCCACACCCCCTTTACTTGTTTCTATTGGTATCGTGTAGCAGAATGTTCGCGTTTGGGACAAAAATCAAGAGGGGGGTGAATTGGTTTCTTATAAAAACTTATCCCTTTAAAAAAATTTCACAAGATTTAACCAATTAAACAACTACTGAAAAGTAAAGAGATAAGGGAAAGAAAATTACACAATTAATTTATACTGGTTCGGATCAAAAGACCATACGTCCAGTTGTTAATCACTCTAAAAGAGGATTAACTTAGTCACTAAAATATTATTTCAAACAAATAACAGATTACACAAGATAAGGATAAGAAAACACCTCTCTTGAGTCACACAAGAGATAAACACCTCCTTTGAAGCCACAAAGGATGAAGACAGTTTTTCCTAGAGACGGCACAACACACAATCCACCAAGAAACCCACTTAGTAATTCTTATCACTTCTAGCCCACACCAGGTTATAAAAGCCCCTTTTTCTTCCCTACTCAAAGTTCTCTCAGCAATCACAACTATAAACTTTAGTATGAAAAAGGTTGTACTTTTCAGAAAGCCTGAGAGTTCCTTAAATAGAGATTTTAGGGTTTAGAAATTAGGATTTTCGAAATTAGGTCAAAAATTTGAAATTCAAAATCATAACTGACATAAATAATTGATTATCATAAGTGGTAATCGATTAATCTAGAGTCATTTTCGCATAATACACAATTTAGCCAGGTTAATCGATTATCAACAGTGATAATCGATTATTTCAGAGACTTTCAGACACCCAAAAGAGCTAAGATAATCGATTACTGATAATCGATTATCCACAGGTGATAATCGATTATCACAGTGGATTTTGGATAAAAACGAACTTTCAATGGACAGAGTGTGTGCTGACTATCTTGGACTCTTTTTTTATAGACTCAAAATGATAAAACAAGGTTATTACAAGTAGATACAACTATATATGAGTCTTCTAATCTTGAAGTCCTTTATCTCTAAAGCATCATCAAAATCTTCAGGCATCATATCCTTGTATTTTCAACAATTTTCACCTTTTTGATGATGATTAAAATCTGCTTTAAAGCCCTTTGTAATAACCTATTTTTACTGTCACAACTAACATAGAAAAGATATTAAACATACCAAGCTTTAAATATTTTCTCCCCCTATTTTATCATAATAATAAAAATATAAGTTCCCCCTCAACATGTGCATAAAAATAATCAACTCCCCCTTAATATGTGCAAAAATAGATATTTATTGAAGTTTGAGCAAAATAATACAAAATATAGAAAGGTAAAAGAAAGAAAAAATGCTAAGCCTAAATAGAGAGAAAAGAAAAATGCTAAAATTCTTCGCTTTCAGAGTCACTGTTAAATTTCATGTCAAATCCGTCTTCAAGATTTGACACACGTTCATCCACATCCGAAATGATGGATAATTTCTTGATATCATTCTGCAGAGATAGAAAAGAAGTCTTGCATTCTTTGGTTCATGCTGACAAGCGTATCCTCAATGGAGGAGCGGGGTTTAGTATGAGCACCAGATGAAGTTCCGGTGACAGGAATATTAGCAGTAGGCATCTCTTCATCATCAGAATCTGCACCAACCTCAACAGCATGGGGTGCATCATCATTATGGAAATATGTTCCATTAACATTGACCATTTGAAGCTAAGATAAAGTTCCATCAAGTATCTGATTTGAATTTAATGTCCGGACCCATTGTTCTCCTTAAACATTAACACCCTTGTATTCCAGAATCCTGGAAATGAGAAAATCATAAGGAATCTTAAAGGTAGGATGTCTCTTGGCTTTGAGCATCGTCAAAGTAACAAGACTAGGCCAATCAATTGGCTCATTGTTCATAATTGCATGTTGAAGCACTTGGTGGATTTGATGAAGACATATTGAGTTGATATAGTTTAGTTTGTGGGTGTGTAGTTGAATAGGTTAGAAGTTTAGAACTTAATCTCTTGATAGGCAAATAAATCTTGTGATAAGCGCCTTAAAATGATGCATCTCATTGAAATCATTTTTCTGCATGAAAAACTAACATTTAAGCATTAAAAGAACAAACTAAGTTTTTCAATCTGTTGAAAAGAAATTTCAATCTGTTAAAATCACTTAACATAAGAAGTGGTCATATATAGTCGAAATTTTCAATTGGTTGAATCGCAGAATCAACAGGTTAAAATGTCTTAATGATTTTTCATTTATTAAAAGTTTCGCATTTTCAATCTGTTGAAATGTTTTTTAATCTGTTGAAACAGAGAGACTATTTTTTCAGTCTAAGTGTTTTTCAAAACTTCAATTTGTTGAAATACTTTTTCAATCTGTTAAAACAGAGAGACTATTTTTCTGACTAAGAGTCTACAGGATTTCAATCTGTTGAAAGGTTTTTTAATCAATTGAAACAGAGAGCTGTCATTCTTCATTAAGCTATTTCAATCCATTGAAAACACGAATCAATCGATTGAATGAAGTTTTAAATGAAATCAATTGATTGAAACGTCGTTTTAATCGATTGAAATGCATTCTGATCGATCATAATTTGATTCTGATCGATCATAACTTGTTCTAATCGATAATAATGGTGTTCTGATCGATCATTTGCTTCTCTGAATCAGTTTTTAACAGATCAAACGTTCTGGTACTCTCTTTTACTCTATAAATACATATTTGATCTATCTTTTGAAATATACAATTTGAGAAAACATTTGAAAGCAATCTTTGAGCAATCATATTCGTGACTTTCTTTGAGCATTTAGAATCTTTTCATATCATAAGGTGCTTTGATCAAGATTGTTGTTAATCAAAGAGAGAAAGTGCTGAGTTAGAATTGCTTCGGACAATTGTACTTGATAAAGCTTCAGATCCGGGTTTTTTCTTTTCATACTCTTGTGTAAAGTGTGGTTGTGTAGATTGGTTTTTGATCTACACTCGGTTACGATGACTCGGATTTGGTTACTTGGGAGGTTTCAAGAGTCTATCTTGTGGGTTTGTAAGATAGTTCTTGGGGTAGATTGGTGAGTATCTACTGGTTGTAATTTTCACTTGGTATTAGTGGAACTTGGCAGATTTGTCAAGAACTGGATGTAGCTCTGGTAAAGAGTGAACCAGTATAAATTGTTGTGTTGAATTTCTTCTTTCATCTCTTTTATTTCTTGTCTATATACTTGTTGTGATTAAAATCAAACCTACCTACACAAGAATTAAATAAAGATAATTCATTCTTCCAAGAGAAAGTAAGTTTTGCGAAAAAGTTTTCTAAAGTTCAATTCACCCCCCTTCTTGAACTCAACCATTAATTCTTTCACATGTATGATACAAAGATCAGCGGTAGAACACTGAGCATGATTGGTGGATCTAGGACAGAGAATCCAGACAATGAGATGAAGTAGCATACGTTCCTCTTTCTTTAGAGGTCCTGCAAGAAGCTCTCTTCCGATCTCCATGGCAGGCTTGCGGAGGAAGCAGCGGTATGCTAGAATTCGGTTGAAATCATTAAGACGTTGATGGAATCATCTCGAATAGGAAATTTTGCTACATTTTCCCATATGTCATCGTCAAGAATGATGGTGACTCCTTTAACCCGAGAAGTAGCAACGTGATATATATACTTAAAGCGAGAGTAGAATACCCATACTAAATTCGGATAATATGTACCCTGCATTTCAATAAAAGGTAGAACTCCTTGATTTTCAAGAAGATTTGGGAAGTTGAATCCCCGATTGATAAAGTGATCTCCTATCAGAAATTTTGGAGAGAGGAAAGGTAAGAAATTCTTGTTGGTTCTCTTCATCAGAAATCCACCCTTCAACAGAATTTGGGTGGGATGAGATGCAGGAGCAGATATTTTCCTAGTTGGAATCTTTCTTCTAGAGGATGAAGCCATTTAGGGAAGAAATAAAGATTGAGATTTGAGATAAGCAAGAGCAAAAGCAAGAGGCAAGAATGAACTTGGAATCAATGCAAATTACTTAGAAGAGAAGTTTGGAGATGATTTGATGAGTTTCTAAGGCTTCCTATATATAGAGAACTTCTCCAATGGCTATAAACGGCTATATTCACGAGTTTCAAGACCAAGAGAGTCGTTGCCAACGGCTATTTTATGCCCAACGTTGCAAAATAATCGATTATCCACTTATGATAATAGATTATTTCTTCAACTACTGCCCCAAAATATGCATGGATAATCGATTATCACAGAGAGTTTTTACTATTTTCGCACATTGAATTATAGATAATCGATTATTAGTCCAAATAATCGATTATTCCAGAAAAATTTTACAAGTATCACACATTGAAGCAACAATAATCGATTATCAGCCCAAATAATCGATTATTTTAGAGAAGCATGCAAAATTGAAGGTCAATCAGATACATAATAATCGATTATTACCTTGCATAATTGATTATTACAGTAAGATATCATTTCCTAAAAAAATTTCAAAGATAAGATATTTCTAATATCCCTAAATCTCTCATAAGTTCATAAAATCTATCATTTGGAAGAGGTTTAGTAAAAATATCTGTTAATTGATGTTTGGTATCAATATATTAAATTTTACAATTACCCT